CCGCGCCTCCACTCCCCAGCGCGGGCGCACCAGCGGGGGGCGTGCCGGAGGGCGAGCGGCGCGCCAGGCCGCGAGGCTGCATGCTGATGGGAAGGGAGGTGGCCTGGCCCAGCGCCGCGGCGCCGCCGTGGCCGTGCAGCGCGGCCAGGTTGGAGGCGCTGGGCGTGCGGGCCATGCCCTGGCTGGTGGCGGAGGCAAAGGGGGAGATGCCGGGGCCGTCCCCGGCGGGCGGCGGCGTGGCGCGGCCGCCCGGCGGCGCCGCCGCCGGCCCCGCGCCGCCAAGTTGCGGCGGGTACCCCTCGGCCCGCGCCTTGGCCCGCTGCAGCTTGATGGTCTGCAGCGCCTCGGCGTCCACCTTGCTGCGGGGAGCGGGCAGGTGGGCAGCCAGGCGGGCAGGTGGAAAGGGTCAGCACAACTGGGGAGGTCCCAGAGACGGCTCCGTTGCATTACCGTGCACAGCCTCCGGGCCGTTTCCCAAAAAGGCACAGCCGCGGCCGGGCGGTGCTCACCGTGACTTGGATACGATGGCCGACACTCCCGCCAGGGCCTTGAGGGCGCTGCTCTTGGCGTCCACCTTTTGGGGGGGCGAGGCGGCGGGGCCCGGCAGGCCGCCGCCGCCCAAAAAGGCGTCCTGCAAGAAGGCGCCGGTGCCGTCGAGCTCCGCGCCACCGCTGCCCGCGGTGTGCAGCGAGGCGCCGGCGTGGTCCAGGCAGCCGGCTGAGGCCTGCGACAGCCCGCTGTCGCTGTCGGCGCGGCTGGAGAGGTCGAGGGAGGGCAGCTGGGCCAGCGGCTGGGCCTGGTACGGCGGCAGAGGCCCGCCCGACTGGTCCGCCATGGCGACAGCCCCTAGGCTCATATATGCTCCGCGCTGCCGGAATTGGTTGCTTGGCTTGGTCTGGAGTGGGCAGAGCCTGCAGGAGGGGGAAGGGAGACGCAGGGGGGCGTGGGGCGCACAGACGGGGCGGGGATGGGCCTTGCGGCGCCGCCCGTCCCCTTGTAGAGACTTTACATGCCGTCAGGGTGCTCTGGGAGGGCCGGCGTCGTGGAGCCGGGCCGGCCGCCGCACTTGGGGCACAGCGCGCAACAGGCAGTAAGCCAGGTCGCGCTGGTCACCCAGTCCACTGCTTGCGGCATTGG